ATTTTTTTATTTTTTTAATATCTTGAAAATATATATAATATATTTTATATATTTTTAAAATTATAAAAAATATATAAGTAAAAAAAATAAAATATCAAAAAACATTATCAAATAAAACCCATGTTATTTAGCTCACAAAGGCACTATACACTCATTCCAGTGTTGCTCCTTAAAAATTGCCCTCGCATTAATATTCAATCTACATCAGTATTCATATCATTTGTCAAGAAAAAAATAAACAAATAAAATATGATAATGAGCAAATTTGTCCAAAAAAAAACATTTTAAGATAAAACCTAGAGTTATAAAGCTTTAATAGAGCAACGTGACAAATGGGCAGATATAAGTTTTAACGATAGCAAAAGTTCTAGTTGTGTTTCGTAATGATTTGTTTTCGGTAAATACACTTTAAGATTTAAAAATTGAAATTAATACCAAAAATATTTTACTTCTTACCCAATTTTCCAAATCACTTCTCACACATTGGTATCTTACTTCTCATATTTGGAAGAATGGAAACAAACATGGACAGGATTACAATGTAGGAAGTGTTTTGGACTTATCTGGTTGGGGATGTTATGTCTTATGGTAATACAATTTATGGGATAGAGAGGAATAGTTCCATTCTTCATGGGATTCTGAAGGTTGTAGAAATTATTTGGTTAAATTTGAGGGAGAGATTCTTCTTGTGAGGTTTTTGGATGATGATTACACAAATGGAGATGTTTGATGTGTATTAGTTTGATTTGGAAGAGAAAGAAAGGGTGGAGATGAAGGATTTTGGGGATTGGTCATTATTCTTGGGTGGAATTGGAAATCAACCAAAGAACTACATGCAAAGGTAACTGTATCTACCTCACTACTAGGTTCCAGCACCAATTGAATGGTTATGTGAGTGTCCCCAACTTGAATAAATGGAGAAATCATGCCAATTTCCTTCATTTGCGATACAATATTATCCTTCCAACTTCCTACCTAATTAGTAATCATCTTAATTTCATTTTGCTTGACTACAGAGACATTGGTTTTTACATGAGTAAGACCTGCAAAATATTCATGTTTGCCTTTATTGTGAATTGTTATATATGTTCATTCCTTTATTATTTTATTGTTTTTGTTATATAATTATCATTTGAATCTAATTAGTGATTGATCAAAATATTCAGAGATTGAAAATCCAAGATTATTTATTAATTATGATGTTTAGTTTCTTAAATGAGGAAAAGAGATTTAAGAATTTAAACAAATAGTATATTTTTTTTCATACTATTTCTTAGAGATATTGGAGGTAACTATAAATTTGACCCAAAGAAGGAAATGAGAAGAGATAAAAGAAGAAAGATTAAATTTAAGTGCTGTTATTTCTTTCCACTAGTATTAGTGAGAATTGTAGAACGTTTGATTTCTTAATGGGTTTTATATGCTGAGATTGGTTTCAGTCTTGTAAGCATTTTGTGTCACCTTTCATACCAGGGCGTGATATGAAAGCAGCTTCATCCTTTCTTTACCAGTGAGCCAAGTTTAGGTGTTGAAATTAGTGCCAATATTAATCTAGAGTACCAAAATGATAACAGTCCAGAGTACTAAGATGATCCCATTTTGCTAATCACCTAATACAGACCTACCTATCCTTCCTTATCAAACTTATGATAAGTAACAGCGTCTTACCTCCACAGCTGAGCACGTCCAAAGTTGCAATCGTATAGAATTCACATTACCCAAGACATGCCTAGCTCACATATTAAAAGTTTCTTTCTTCATGTTTATCAATAGTAATCCTGCACTTTCTAGGTATGGATAAATTATTTTTGTTAAATTAATTGTCTTTTTTCCGTTAGAATTTGCTAATGAGTTCTAAATAAGAGCTTAAGAATTTTTAACTGTAATAATAAGAGCTTAATTTATTGGCTAAATGTACAAATTACCTCCTCAAATTGTCATGTTAAAACAAATTTACGACTCAAAAAAATTTTTAACGCAAATTGCCACTCCAAATATTTATTCTTAAAAAATCAACTTAAATTTAATGGTTACCATTAAATTCTGTTAAACTATTTAATTTTAACAATTGCCATTAAATCTCATTAAACTATTATTCTTAAAGTTTAATAAAAAAATTAACAATGACTATTAAATTTGAACTAATTTCTTAAAAATAAAAATACGAGGTGGTAAATTATATTAATATTCTTTTTTGTGATAATTTGCTCCAACACTATAATTTTGGAGGGAATTTGCACCTTTTGTCCAATTTATTTCCTTATCATTTTAAAAACATAATAGAGGAAATGAGATAGAAATTTACTAGTTGGCCCAAAATGGATTTTCTTTCAATCCCAAAATTCCAGCCATTAGAGTGTTAACTTAGAAGTTTAAGTGCAATTACTATTCCTCCTTTTTCCAAATAACTTCATGTTTCGATTCAAAATCTCAAAACGGGAATGCCTACAAGTATGCGACGATTATATCAAGGCATGCTATACTTCATAAGTTGCAGCAATAATAACCTTGACACAGTGCATACAACCATACGCATGAGAAACAAACTAAGACAGACAGAGAAAACAAAACAAGAAAAAGCAACCTACTTATGAATCTAGATTTCATCGCATATATATCCTATATGATATTAATTCACCCGACACTTGACACACCATCAATATTGGTCCTGTGCCAAGGGGAAAGCTTACCTAGGTAGCTAAGATGTATTTTAGGTTCGACCAAACGGAGCTTTCTTGTGGGAACTTAGTCGTTATTATTAATATATTAAGGTATAAAGCATAAAAAGGTAAGACGAAATAATCTGAAGAAAGGTATCCGAAGCTAGGTATTGTTGTTCTTCATGACCCAAATGCTTCTAAGGCTTCAAGTTTGAAGCAATCTCTCTCTCTCCTTTTTTTTTTTTTTTTGGTCAGTGCAAAGCAATTTCTTCTAAAGGTTGCTACTTCACAAAAAGTGAAATGAATTAATGCAAATTAATCTAAAATTAAGTATTTAATTCATCATTAACTATAGTTAGAAAATTTATATTTAATTTCATATTTAAAAAATTTTAGTTAATTGTGCTCAAACTTATACATCTTTGTTTGTTGTGTTTGGATTTTAATTGATTATATTTAAAAAATGAATTTTACATTTCAATAAAGATCAATGAGAGTGAAGATCCCCATAAAAAATAAAAATAAGATAAAATCTACCTATATAAAAAATCTTTGTAAAAATCCCTATTACGATTTTTTGTGAGAATAGAGACAAAGAGGCACTTTCCAAACCCATGGAATCCATTTCCACCCCAAAAGATAAGCCATCCTAAACTCCTACAAGGACCCTAGGTACAAAGCTTTACCTATGAGTGAGTCACCCAATATATAGCCTATGTATGGTATGCCACCTTGATAAGCTAGTACAGCTAGGCGACCTTAGTAACCTAGCAATGGTTATGTGAGAGTCTACAACTTAAAAAATGGAGAAATCATGGCAATTTTTTAATTTCATTTGGAAAGGCAGTTTCATTCAGCACCTATACGAAGATATTGGATTTTGCCAAATCAGTACTCATTCTTATTTCATTTTGCACGACTATGAAGAAATTGGTTTTTGCGTGAGTACTGACACCTACAAATTCTCATGTTTTCCCTTATTGTAAATTCCTCTCTCTATATATAGTTGTTCATTCCTCTGCAATTTCTATTGTTTTTGTTATACATTTATCATTTGAATCTAAGTAGTAATTGATCAAGGTAATTGGAGAGTGAAAATTCAAAATTATTACTTATCATGTTTAGGTTTTTTTTAAAGAGGGGAAAGATAAAGAGTGTTGTATTTCTTCATATTTTTCTTATAGTGGAGATATTGGAGATAACTAACAACGTAACCCAAAGAAAAAAATATCAAGAGAAGAAAATAAAAAAAACTTAAATTTGGAGATAGTTAATTATTCCATTCGTATCAGTTAAAATTAAGGAATTGTTGGTATAATACTGGGTTTAATGGGCTAACATAGCCTTGTTAGCTTTTCAACCCTCATTTTTTGCCCAGCCAAAATTCAATACCATATCTGACTTCTTTCTACTTTCTAAATGAAAGTTTTTATATTAACACCAATGTTAAGATTAGGCTTGAGCAGTAAGATGAAAATTTCAATTATTTTTTTTTCCATCACGTATAAATTGTAATTGCAAATATAAATAAATTTTTCATTCAAATTAGAGTTCAAATTATTTCTTTATTATTTCAAAAACATCCCAGAGAACATGGGACGAAATTTAAATTACAAAAATGCACTTACCTCTACATAGTTGCTCCAAAACAAAACCAGGTATATTTGTTAACCTTCTTTGGAAAAATGTTGGGCCTTACGAAGCCCAGCCCATCGGAATTGATCGTGTTGGAGAAAAAGGGCTACTCATAACAAATCACTAAAATGAAAATAGGAAATCGAACTTCCTAAACCTGGTCCAGTCTCTTACGTTCCGATCCTTTCAAGATTTTCAGATACGGTCTTCATTCTGGGTCGGATCTCAGGATCCGCTTCGGTACAGGCAAGAGCCACATGGAAAACCGCTAACACTTCCTTCTTGGCGTGCACTTCCTGTAGGAGCATCGGGTCAACCATATCCGACAACGGGTTCTCCTCTTCAAACCCTTTCCTGACCCACTTGACGATGTCCGGGACTTCTATGGAAGTTGAGGTTGTCGGAGAAAGCTCGGGGGACTTTCCGGTGAGGAGTTCGAGCAGGACAACTCCGAAGGAATAGACGTCCCACTTCTGGATGGGACGGTTGCCGGGGACTCGGGCTTCGGGGGCCCGGTAATTGTTGGTGCGTTCAATTTGCATGGATTTCATGTAGGGGAGACTGCCCATGAAGCCACCAGAGGAAGAAGGATTGTTGCCGGTGATAGAGATGAGTCGGTTGAGGCCGAAGTCGGAAATGTAGGGTTGGAAGTCGTTGTCGAGGAGGATGTTTGATGGCTTGATGTCGCCGTGGACGTATTTTCTTGGACTGCATTCATGGAGATAGGCTAGGCCTCGGGCTGCACCTTTGGCGATTCTGAGCCTGGTTGACCATGTGAGGTTTGTTGATGGCTGGCCGTTTCTGCCTGTGGAAACAAATTTTTATTAGCAATAAGTCCTTGCAAATTTTATTGTTATTATACAAAAATTATACCGTAGAAATTATAGATTAAATGAATCCATGCAAATTCATTGTTAGTTTATTAGGTCGAGTCTAATGATACGCGGGTAAGTATAACTAAAAATCTAATAAATAAATAAATGAATAAATTTCTTTGACAAGAAAATAAAAAGCTTTTTACTCTAGACCGATTAAAAAAAAAAAAAAGCCATCTGGATTGAAAAAAATCCCATAACTCTAGAAAAGGATAGGAAGACACCTTTCCCTTCTATTTTAGAGAAAGAAAGAAGATAAAATGAGCCTTAAAAGGGGAAACAAAAGCAAGTGTTTTCTGCAAAAAGCGTTTGTTGTTTATAGAAATTGAGAAGACAAACAAAAAGAAAGGCAGAGAATCC